AATATCCATCACCTGGCTAACCCATCCCCCCACCCCCTCCCCCTCAAACCTCAGTTTGTTTCTCAGAGTCCATAGTATCTCATGTTTGTCTCCCCCTCCCATTTCCCCCCCCTTCATTTTTCCCTTCCTTCTAATGTCCTCCATGCTATTCCTTATGTTGCACAAATAAGTGAAACCATATGATAATTGACTTTCTCTGCTTGACTTAATTCACTTAGCATAATCTCCTCCAGTCCCATCCATGTTGATGTAAAAGTTGGGTATTCATCCTTTCTGAAGGCTGAGTAATATTCCATTGTATATATGGACCGCATCTTCTTTATCCATTCATCTGTTGAAGGGCATCTTGGCTCTTTCCACAGTTTGCCAATGCAGACATTGCTGCTATGAACATTGGGCCCTTCTTTTCACTATATCTGTGTCTTTGGGATAAATACCCAGGAGTGCAATTGCTGGGTCATAGGGTAGCTCTATTTTTAATTTTTTGAGGAATCTCCACACGAAGACAACACATTATTTTTTTTTTTGCTGTTTTGATTATAGCCTTCTAGTGGGTATAAAGTGATATTTCATTGTGGGTTTTATTTACGTTTCCTTGGCTAATGACATTGAGCATCTTTTCATGTCTTTATTGGACATTTTTGTATCTTTTTTGCAGAAATGTCTATTCAGATTCTTTCCCATTTTTTAATTGTATTATTTGCTTTTACTATGAGTTGTAATTGCTCTTTATATATTCTAGGCAGAAGTCTCTTATCAGATACACTATTTGCAAATATTTTCTCCTATGGGTTGTCTTTTTCGCTTTTTTTAATGGTGTCCTTTGAAGCACAAAGGTTTTTAATTTTGACCAAGTCCAGTTTATCTCTTTTTCTCCTTTTGTTGCTTGTTGTGTTATATCTAAGAAGGGTGTGCCTACCCCAAGATCACAAAGACTTACTCCTGTGTTTTCTTCAGTTTTATAGTTTTGTCTTGTACATTTAGGTCTATAGTATATTTGGAGTAAATTTTTTTGTGTGTTATAAGAAAGGGATCCAACTGCAGTTTTTTGCATATGGATGTCAAGTTGTCCCAGCACTATTTGTTCAAAAACATATTTTTTTCTATTGTTAAAAATCAATTGACTGTATTTAAGGGTTTATTTCTGGATTCGCAAGTCTATTCCATTGATCTATGTCTTTCCTTAGGCCAGTACCACACTGTCTTGATTATTATAGCCTTGTAGTAAGTTTTGAAATCAGGAAATGTGACTCCTCCAACCTTGTTCCTCTTTTTAAAGATTGCTCTGGCTATTCTGGGTCCTTCCCATTTCCACAGAATTTAATGATCAGTCAATTTCTGCAAAAAAGCCAGCCAAGAATTTGATAGGGATTGAATTTTATTTATAGATGAACTTGAGGAGTATTATCATCTTACAAATATTAAGTCTTCCTATCCATGTCTTTCCATTTATTTAGGTTTTTAATTTTTTTCAACAGTGTGTTGTGGTTTTCAAAGTACTAGTTTTGCACTTCTTTTGTAAAATTTGTTCCTATTTTGTTCTTTTTGATGCCGTTGTATACAAATATCCTTTAAACTTTTTTTTTTTTACATGTATATACCTACCAGCTCCCTGTCTCTCTCTATTCACTGCTCCATGTATTTCTTCTCTTTATCCTATTTTAATTCCAGTGTTACACTGATCTCATGAAACATTCAGAAAACATTTATGTGACTCCTTTCAGCAGTCATATGGCATGTGTATTTTGTGTCAGGTACTGTACTGACGGGGTATGGAGTTGATTAAACATCTTGTGTTTTCAGAGAGAGGACATAAACATGGTATCTAAGATTTATCACAGTGAATATTAGAATATCAGAAGCATTATAGAAGGAGGGATCAGGGAGACTCTTTTAGAGAAGGTAACATTTAAGACTGACCTTGAAATACTGATAAGGATTTAACAGACTTTGAAAAACTTGCTATTTAATCAAAACAAGGTAAATGAAATCATGAAGGCATGAAAGTACTTGATGGTTCATTAAAGGTGAATGGGCTTATATGGTCAGTATCGGATGAATGAGGGAAATGATTGAGGGCAAAGTAGGAAATATCGAATAGTCAATCTAGTTGTGACAGGTTTTAATAAAATAGTAAGAATTTTGTGGGCACCAGAGACTTCTGAGTAGTGGGGGTGTCATGAGATTTTTTTTTTTTTTTAAATCTGGGAAGATGTTGATTAGATCTGTATTTTAGAGAATTAACTGGTGTTTGCTGAGAGTGGATTGCAGTGGAGAGAATATAGGGACAGAGTACCAGTTTGAAGTCTGTTCCAATATCCAGGGAGAGAAGATGAAGGTCTTAACTGGGAAAGCAACAATAGAATTGAGAGGAATAGTTGACTTTGCATTCTGACAGAAAGATTTTGATTGTTTGATTCAAGAGGTGAGATAGGGAAGGAGATAAGTTCCTGATAAATTGAGTTGTCTCATTTGGTTTATTGGATGAATGGTAATGTCTGTCTGGTCCTTTGTTTTTTGTTGTCATTTTGCTGTTTTAGTTGTATTAAATAAGTAATGTAGACATGGACTCATTAGCCATGAGATTGAACTCAAGTCTCTCACCCCATTCCTCTTTTCCAGAAGAGGCCAAACTGATGTCATTGGCTCAAAACCCCCAACATGGTTGCTCTTTCTGGTTTGGCCAGGCTTGATATTGAGTTGTCATGAATATTATGTACATATGATATTGAAGGCTCATGAATAACAAAGATACTTCTTGGATTTTGAATCTCCCAGAAACCAGGGACAAAGGTCAGTAACATTATTATATAACATACCCCAAACTCCTTTAACTCTCTCTTAGAGCATCTACTTCCACATTTCCAGATTCTATGTCTAATCTGACATTATCTTGATAGTCAATTTTAGATAAAATGTGTAACCCCCTTTCCTCTTTATCCCCCTCCCCCACTTCTCAAACATCTGCTATTTGCTGCTTTAGTACTACCTTTGGTTAAACCAGTGCCAGTTCTCACACTAATAGAACAATGTAAATCTTGTTTCTTTTGCCTCTTTTGAAAGTTTCAAGAGCTTTTATTCTTGGATTGATTCCTTTTCATGACATCCTATTCTTTGAGATAAAAATCTTCTCCCTCTGCAGATATTAATTTGGGGATCAAAGCTTACGATACTTTTGAAGGTTTTTGTTGTTGTTTTTCTTCTGTGTTAGTTTGCTAGGATTGTGATAACAAAGCCTGACAGATTGAGTGGTTGAAACAACAGAAATTTATTGTCTCATGATTCCGGAGGCTGGAGTTTCAAGATCATGGGGTAAGCAGGGTTGGTCCTTCTGAGGCCTTTCTCCTTGGCTTGTAGATAGCTGACCTCTCCCTGTGTCCACATGGTCTTCCTTGTGTGTGTCTGGGTCCTAATCTCCTCTTATAAAGACACCGATCATATTGGATTAGGTTCCACCTATATGAGCTCATTTTACTTTAATTACTTCTTTAAAGGCCTGATCTCTAAATACTATCACACTCTGAGGTATTTAGGCATAGAACTGCAACATGGTATTTTTTAGGGGACACAATTTAGCCTATTACACCTGCCTTATTTCTGTGTCCTCTGGCTTTTTTTGTTTATGTGACTTCCATCTCTCTCTCAACGTATTTTCCTTGACTATGTTATAGTCTTTGGCTGTCCTTGTATATTTTAGAGTCTGGGAATAGCTGATTTGTTTAGTTTGTTTATGGGCAGTTTGTTTGTAAGTGGCTTTTCTATTGGGTGATATGACTGCAAGTAGACCTTTTTTGGGGGGAGGACCCTTATATGTCAAGATCTTTGGTTCTTTTTTCCTTTTTTCCCCTTTAATTTCTTCAGAGAATAATATTCTACTTACCCAGACACGGTGGGGTTGGGCAGGGTGGACTTACAGACCTTGCTGACAGGTGTAAGAGCAGGGGAGGAAGAGGCGCAGTAGTCCCACAGTCTGCTGTGCAGGTTGACACTTACTCACCCTACTGTGCCTGGCATTCCTGATTCCTGGTCGTCTTCTCTTTGGCTTCCTCAGAGACTGAACTTCTGATCTCCTGCTGACTGCAAGGGGAAGGCAGAGGCCAGGGTGTCTAAGTTCTCAGTATGTAAAGATATAGATAGCCAGCAAGTTCTTGCTGTTTTGCTCTGAACCTCACTGTCATCTTCTGGGCCATCTGAAACCTTGATCAATTGAGGGGTTCTGTGGCAGTTTATTAGTGAGGTTTTATTATTTGTTGCCTACTATATGCTAGGTACTGTGCTTTCCTTAGGATTATCCTATGTAACCTTAATTGTAACCTTTGAAAGGTTCTACTGCTAGGTCCATTTTACCTATACAAAAACAGCGGGTTTAGAACAGAATTAGTAAATTAGAGCACCAGGCCTTGAATACAGGTGTATTTGATCTCAGAAACTGCACTTTTACCAACTCTGCTATACTCAGAAGAGTTGGCAAATTCATGTTTTTGCCTTAGGTCTACAATTCTGGGTTTTGTAAAAATGTCAATATATTGATTTGACCACATTAAAAAAGTTGCTGTACTAAGTATAACACAAAAATAAAGTGAAGTTCAGTACACCTCTGGGGATATAAATGTATTTTAATTTTTATGAACATGATTAATCAGAACATCTTCCTTTAACAACTTGGAGAGTAGAACAGTTTCTAGCATATTTTTGGGATTCAGCAGGTGTAGGTATGGAGCTAAATGGTGACAATAGGTTCTATCTATCATTATATTTAAAGTTCCAGAACCAAGGGCTTAGTTGTCTGTTATTTTTCTGACATTTCCCTCACAATACCAGCTACAATGTCTTTGGTAAATTTAATGTTCAGTAGATGTTGGCAGATAGGCTAAATGACAGCTACAAAATTCAGAACTTTAAGAATACTTTTTATGTTTTGGTATTGAATGTCTAGCATTCTTGTATTTTTAGTCAGTGCTTCTTTCAGTTGTCACTAATACTTTACTTTCTTTTTTGACAGATTACTTCTGTAACTAGATCTCTGGTTTGCTCAACAAAGCACGATGTCCCGATCCCGACAACCCCCTCTTGTGACAGGCATCTCTCCAAATGAAGGAATACCATGGACAAAGGTCACAATTAGAGGAGAAAACCTGGGGACTGGCCCAACTGACCTCATAGGTAAGAGCAAGAACTGTGTTTCAATGGTAAATGCATTTTTATAGTGGGCATTTGAGACAAGCTGATAGAACAACAACATTGTGATCAGTACAGAATGATTTGAATAAAGATGAAAGAATTATTTGGTTTTCTGGCTTTTCTGTTTAAAATCATTATTTTATCAGATCTTGTCTAAATTGCTTTTCACCGAGTCCTTCAGAAAGTTTCCTGCAGCTGCGATTTGCCTCCAATTCCTGAGCCTTGCTCTCTCCTGCTTTGATTGCCCAAACAGCCTCCCTAGCTATTTTTGCTCTCTTTAGTTTTCCCTCCATTATACAACTGTCTGTATTTGTTCTGTAGTGCTCTGTAAATGATACCTCTTCTGTACCTTATTGCCCTTCAAATCAAATCTAAACTCTATCTCCTGGTGATATCAGTACCACTTGGCTGTTATCCTCACTTCACCTAGAAGAAACTATCCACTCTCACCAGGTGCATATCCTTACTGAGACCTATGAATGTTATTTATATCCTTTCCTCTGCCACATTGATGCTTAATTGTGGTTGAGAGCCCCACCATGAATCTGAAATATGAATAGTCTCTGTCTGCCAAAACTTGAGACTGGAAAAAAAAAAAAAAGTTCTTCAAACTAATTCCCACCCATGTTAATCTGTCTTTTTATTTAGGCTCCCCTAATACTTATATATTTATGGTAAGCTAAACTGTAGTTTTTAGGATCTGTTTATGTCTTTTTTTTTAATCTTTTAAGTTCAAGGACATGCACGCTCTGTACCCAGTTGGCACTGTATAAATTTGTTAGTTTGTATAGTGTCTGTCCCCCCCATTCCCACCCTATAACATGGAGACCTTTTACTGCTGATTATTTAAGCATTCATCTTTGTCAGTGGTTCTCATCCCTGGCTTGTCTTTTCTTTTTTTAAAGTTTTTTGTTATGTTTTGTTTTTGTTTTTTTAATTCCACTTAGTTAAAATACAGTATAATATTTATTTCAGGTGAACAGTTTAGTGATTCAACACTTTCCATACAATACCCGGTGTTCATCACAAGTGCACTTCTTACTCCACATCACAATCCATCCCCCCCACTTACCTCCCCTCTGGTAACCATCAGTTTGTTCTCTATAGTTAAGAGTCTGTTGCTTGGTTTGCCTCTCTCTTTTTCCTATGCTTGTTTTGTTTCTTAAATTCCACATATGAGTGAAACCATATGGTATTTGTCTTTCTCTGACTGACTTATTTCACTTAGCTTGATACTACAGCTCCATTCATGTCATTGCAAATGGCAAAATTTCATTCTTTTTTAATGGCTGAGTAATATTTCATTATATATAAATAAATTATTGGTCAGTTAGGATTATTTTCTTGTGAACTCTGAGATGCATTTAGAAAAGAGATGCATTCAGAATGAGGAAGGGAGAGACTTCAGTATATGCTACTGAACATATATGCTGATTACCGTATAAACTTATCTGGATTCAGACATTCTCTTGACTCTTCTTAATTTCTGAGGGACCTTAGGGGTGCCTGGGTGGCTCGGTCCGTTAAGCGTCTGTCTTCAGCTCAGGTCATGATTCCGGAGTCCTGGGATCAAGCCCTGAGTCAAGGTCCCTGCCCAGCGGGGAGTCTGCCTCTCCCTCTCCTTCTGCTCCTCCCCCACTTATGCTCTCTCGCGCGCATGCTCACTCTCTCTCAAGTAAATAAATAAAATCTTTTAGGAAAATTTATGAGGGACCCATTGGTAAAGTATTGGAGATTATGAGTTGGAACTTATTTTTCTTGCATTATTGGTGCAGCTTGACAGATTGTTTTTTGGCCATCTGGAAAACCCTTGGAAAAGAGAAGGTGAATTGGAGCTCGGCACTATGTTTAATAAATGGGTTTTGCACTTCCCAGCTAATTCTTTTCACTAGTGTTATTTCATTATGTCTTATTTTATGTTGTTTTCTCTAGCCATAGTTTTTGATTCTTCAGTAAACAAAAATTAATTATTCTTATGTAGATAGTTTTATCTAATCCTATGTCTTGGTTTTTTGACATAGCTCATTCTAGATTTCTCTTTATCCAAAGTGGAAAAGTCCCTAGAATGCATGGTAATAAACCATACAGATGGAGGTTATATCCAACATTTTAACTGGAGCTCCTAACATGACAGTTACTAGTCTATGTAAATTTTAATCTTGCTTTAGCTTCAGGCAATGCTATTCTTATTTGACTAAATGTGTATACTTCTATAAACTTTGCTAGTTCAGCTTTCAACCTGCCTATCTATTGCCAGGAAACCATTTTTTAAAAAAGCAAACTCAACCTGCTAAATAATTTGAATGTTTTTAGCTCAGATGATATCTACACTAGCCAAGTGAAACATTATAAAAATAGTTTATTTTGAAATTCTACAAGTTACTTTAAAAAAAAAAGATGTTATATTTTATGAAGCAGATTTCTTGGTTTGCAGTAACTTAGCAAAAATGTGCTTTAGAAATTAAGAAATCAGTCTTATGATCTTATTTAATTTTTATGACATTTAAAATGATCTGTTTGAATCTATGTTTAAAAATAAATGGTGATTATTAATTTTTTAGTTAAAATGCAGAGCAGATATTAAATCAGAGAAACCCTGATAGCAGCTACAATAGATGAATAAACTATTGTTCTGGGTAGTTTTTTCCCAGCTTGTACTGTCATAGATAAAATTTATATGTTTGCTCTTCTGAGTATGTTTTTCAGGCTTGCTGTCTATATATTGGAAGTCTCCCATTCCTCAGTTTTAATCATAAGGTTGTTCTCCAGCAGAGAACCTGTATTAGGAATGACTTTATATTAAGTCTTGACATTTACTATTGAGTTGTTTTCTTTTCTGAAATGAGTTAATATTTAAAATCACAAGAATTTTTTGATATTATAAAATTGTAAAATATTAAGTTAATGTATTAACCTAGAATGATATCAAAATACCTACCATCTATAACACTAAAACTGTTTAGTTTATTAATTAAAGCCTTTTGTATCATTTAAAAAATACATAGACTGATTTATGTATGCATAAACATTATTTGAGCAAATATTCATTGAAGTGTTTCACAGTGTTTCTCTTTGGAGAGGAGTTCCAGGGGTGCCATCAGTCTCTTAAATTGTTTACATTTTTCAAAACAAAATTGATTTTCAGGAAAGATATCAAAGACATTCCCATTTTGAAAAAATAATTTTGAATTATGAATGCATTTAAAAATGTATAAATGTCATTATACATTTAAAAAAAATCAAAGAAAACTTAGTCCTGAAGAATCCTCTAAGTGCTTTTATTAGAAAGACAAAATTCCAGGGGTGCCTGGGTGGCTCAGTTGGTTAAGTATCTACCTTGGGCTCAGGTCATGATCCCCATGCCCTGGGACTGAGCCCCACATCGGGCTCCCTGCTCAGTGCAGAGCCTACTTCTCCCTCTCCCTCTGCCCGTCCCTCCCCACTCCCTGCTAGTGCTCATGCTCTCTGTCTCTCTCTCAAATAAATAAATAAAATCTTTAAAAAAAAGGCAGAATTCCATACATGTATAAATCATGGCTGTTTTAGGGAAATCTCTAAAATTCATTATTTCAATAAATGCATCTTTAAAAGGTGGTTGTTTTTATTACTCTATGGTTAATATAACATTCTTACTAAATAGTGCATTAAGTTGTAACACAAGATGACTTGAATCCCTTCCTACATTTTTTCAACCAAATTTGGCATTAGTTGAGATGTTCCTGATATCTGAAAAAAAAATTGTTAATTGCCAAACTTGACTGCTAGGCAGTATAAAAAGTTAAATAATGAGAAAAGAAAGCGTGAAGTGTCTGTTCTTTGCCACATACATTTTGGTTTATTTTTTCCAAAAATATTTATGAGGTTGTTCTGTTTTGTGGAAATGGAAAATACAAAGAAAATAACTTAGTAGAAGAGCTGGCAGTTTGTGCACATGGTGATATATTGGTGTTCTATCTGGGGTCACATCTTCCTCACTGTCATCTTTCAGTGCCTCCCTGTTTGGTTACTGCCTAAATTATAATAATTTACTTGATATCAGGGCCTGAGATTCCAGGCATGAGTTGACATTTTGGGAGTACTGGCTTACTCTAAGATCAGAATGTAGTATAGTGACAGTGTCATTAGGGAAACACTAAGGCAACATGAGCTACCATTTAGGATACAGATATAAAAAATGAAATAGTAATCCAGTAAGGCCCAAGAATGTTAGCTGGATTTACCAGACTCCAGGCTGTGCTTGAAATAAAGTATATACTATGTATACCATATATGATTTAAATGCTAGGAAAAGTAAGTGCAGATTATTTTCAGGAAGATGGATAAATATGTTTTTAGGCAGTGGTATATACACTTAGTATACTTTAGGATTTTATATCAATAACTTAGATTTCTGATAATAGCAATAATTTCCTTTCTAAAACCTATGAAAGCAATTTAAGATTCTCATAGTCTGAGTAATGTGGAATGCCTACACATAATTATTATGGTCATTATTTTTTAATTTCATTGATGTTTGAAGAAACTTAAATATAATCTAAGGAAGTCTTAAAAATTAGAGAAAAAAGATTAGACAAAAATCAGTAGAGACTATATTTGCAAGTAACATTGGGTATATTCAATAATCGAAATAACTATTGAACAGGAAATGTTATTTCTAGATTTATTTTTCACTTCATGGAAAAAGCCTGGTAATACTGACAGAAGAATTATCTTTTTATGTAATAGACATGTTTAAGATCTTCCCTTTGTTCTTTTGAACTTTGTTACATGCGTGCTTTTATTTTTAGGTTTGACAATTTGTGGACATAATTGCCTCCTGACGGCAGAATGGATGTCTGCAAGTAAAATAGTATGTCGAGTGGGACAAGCTAAAAATGACAAAGGAGACATTATTGTCACAACCAAGTCAGGTGGCAAAGGAACCTCAACAGTGTCTTTCAAGCTACTTAAACCTGAAAAAATAGGTATCATCTTACTTTCTATTTTTAAAGAGGAAAATGAAAATGGGTTTTGCCTTTCAAAATCTAAAACCAGTAGATTTGTATAAAATTTACCTACTCTCACATCTCATTAACTTAGATTATGTTTATTTGGACAGGAATGGGATATTGGTTAAAATTTGCATTATTTTTGGAAAGGCAGTTTGCTGGGGTAACAGTGAAACCTAAGGATGATGATCATGAGAGAACTATCCTAAATTCTTTATAAAACTTATTTCTTTAACAATTTGCTTTGCCAATTTTAGTTCCTTGATCTTGAACACAGTAATTGCATTTCTTTCTATTATGCAGTCGAGATTTGAGATAAAATATCCTCCTCATTTGGCCAAATTAGCAATAGTATTATCTAAATAATGTTCTTGTTTCCTTCATTTTCTCCATCCTTTGAGGCCAGGACAAAATGTTGCCTGGCCAAAATGTGCTTTTAGCCCTCCAAACAAGAAATAATCCCTCTTTTTTGTATACTGTAGCACTTTAAGTGTTACTTTTTGTGCACTTAACACATGCTTCCTCATATTGGGGGTAGTTAAGAACTTGATCCGAGGAAGTGGACTCTGAATACTAATCTGGGCTCTGGCACTACAAACTGTGGAACTTCAGTGCTAGATTTTTTGTGGGTAAAAGTGGAACAATATTAGCTACCTTGTAGGATTAAATGAGTTAGAGCATGCATGTAAAGTACTTAGTATAGACCCTTACACAAAGTTAATGTCAGATTCATCTTTATGGTCCTACAATGTCTTGTACATGGTTAGTATTTGATAAATATCTGTATAATGTAGGACTATCACAAACATAATTAAGCCCAGGTCATACTTCTCTCTTATATTGAAAAGTAAATAATTTTGCAAATTGTTTTTGTTTTCTATCTTAAGAGTGTAGAGCCTTTCTACAGCATTATCTTCCTTAAATTACTAGACTTTTTTTTTTCCATAAATAAAAATTCAGGTAAGGAATTTAAGGGAGAATACAAAATGGAATTTTATATATAAATATATGCATTATATATGTGTACATATGCAGACACATATGTCTATGCATATATATATACATATATAATATCCTTGTTTTTGTTTACTCATTTTTATTTAACATCTTCAAAAACTGAAAATTAAAGCAGGAACTTGTTATCAGTTTTCTGGAGGAACTTAAAACATTTTGGCAGAATCCAGCAATGTCTTATATTTATATAGCAGATAAAGACAACTTATTTGAACGTTTTAATTTTATTCTGAAGCATCCTGCCCAGGACTTAGCACAATATAAACTCAATAAAGGCTTATTGAGCCTAACTTAGGAGTATCTAGACTTGAGAATAACCTCTAGCAAAGCCTCTTGTTGCATTCTGGCAGAACTGTGGGTGCTGATAGAATTTGTGGGTTCACAAAGGGTCATATAGCTAGAAGTTGCCTGGGATCAAATACCTTCCTTCATGAAGCATTCACAGCCCCCAGCTGTTCTTCTGCTCATTGGCGCTTTGCCCATTTTCTGTTTCAACTCAAGTTTAGAGATAGTAAGCCTGTGAGTCTATGCCAAAGTGATTGACAAAGAACTCAGTCACATAAAAGAGGGTACCATTTTCAGAGATTATAATTTGTTCACATTTTTCCTGAATATCCATCCCAGTCATTTCCATTACACAAGCCATGCATTTCTTGGAAAGTATTTGACTGTTTTCTTTATATACAGAATTGTTGGATATTTTTTGAGTTAACCAAATTAATTTTACTATTTATTGTTTGTAAAATACATTTGTTTTAGCAGAAATTTTTCTCAGAGGCTTAGTGTGCCTTCTCTGTTGAATAATGTACAGTGAAACCATGAACCAGGAGGTGTTATATTTACCTTTTTATAGATTCTTAGTGTTTTTAATCAAGCCACCAGCCATTAAAAAAAAAAAAAAAAAAACCAAATGAAAAAATCAGAGCTTTTGTGCTCTCAAATTTCTCAAAAATTACCTTAGCATGCATTTTGTATTAGGTCTTTAAAAAGTGAAACAATAGGGAAAGGCTTAGTCTGTATCTCATTAAGGATGTGCTCCTCATTTTGGTAGGTCTTTTGGATCAGTCTGCTGTGTGGGTTGATGAAATGAATTATTATGATATGCGTACTGACAGGAATAAAGGAATTCCCCCCTTGTCTCTGCGTCCTGCTAATCCGCTTGGCATTGAGATTGAAAAGTGAGTACCATCTTGCCTTCAGTTTTCTTTATTGCTGAAAAGTTGTATATACTTACGAGTAAAGAGAGTTAAACTCCAGAAACATCCAGGGAAGCACAGTTGAAGATATTTCTATTGTTGGGATACAAGTGTTATTTCTGAAGCCTGGTCAGCCTTGCTGCCTTGTGAATGTTCCAATTAGTTAAAAATTTTGGTGAAAACTACTTACCTCTTTAGTTTTTTGAGTTTACATTTTGTGAAGAAGAAAAGTATCTTGAAGTTTGTAATAACTAATACTTTTAATGTTAGGAGAATTAATTCATTATCCGGGGCTGGTGAGTTTAAATATTTAGATGGTACTTGAAATCAAAACAGAGTTTTCCATGTGCTTGATGTTTTTGGGAAATATTTTAGAATGATTAGGCCCACTGTAGTCTTTTATTTTGTTTACAACCTCTGCCTATAATTCGTATTTAATCTAGACTTATTGTCTCAGAATTGTGGCAGGTAAATGAGAGTTTTCAAGATGTAAACAAATCTGTAATTTTCTATTCTTAATTGCTAGGATAGTGTTTTAGCAACTTTTATAATTAGTACCTTTATCCTTGCATCTTACTTAATTCATCTAACACATTAATTGTGTCAAATTTGTTTTCTGGCCTTGGTGATTCTGCTCATGGAATTACATACTGAATGTTGCTCTATAAACACTTACTGAAGGTGACAAATTAGTTCTGTTAACACTTTAACCGTAGTTTTAAGTTTTTCTAGGAATGGGGAAAATTGTCTCCTAATCTTTATATATTTAACCTTCAAGCCTACACTTGAAGACCATTAGTAATTCAAATAGCAAGCTTCTTTTTCACCTAGTGGGGTTTTACCTCTGGCTAAGAGGAAGGGAGCAAGTGTTTCTCTTGGGAATTCACCATGTGTTGAAAAATCCTGGGGCTTAGCAGCTTTTAGTGAGCTTGGACTGTCCTAGGTCACATCTTTAAAGCTCTTTGGCAGTATGGGTCATTCTGGAGCTGTTTTAAGGATTTCAGTGCTCTATAAATTAGGAGTTTGAGGATCAAGAAAGTCCAGAAAAGAATGGTAATTGCTAGCTATTTAGTTGAGCACAGTTTCAAGCATGAATAGACTTTGCAGTTGATATGAAGCCTTTTAACAGCCTGCTTCAATACTCTTGAAAGCCAGCTTCTTTCCAAGGCCTGCCACAAAAGAAGTATAGAGCAGGAGGTCCTTTTTGATGGTTCTTTCATAAGGAAAATACAGTTTTTATATATGGGCACAGGGAGTATAGGAATATTGTATGAATTTTATATGAGCTTTAGACAAAACTATCAAAGTTAGGATTAAATTGAATGTTTACTGTCATAAAATGGATTTTCTTAATTTTCAGTTGGCATATAACACACCCCCTATTTGACTTCTTTACCCTCCTTCCACCTTTTAATTGTCTTTATTATTTCTGTTTTTGCTGCTACCCAGAAAAGGGGTAGGCTTGGACTCTCTCTAATAGCACTTTTTCTTAATATGTGTCGGTATTATTCTTAGGGAACATTGGTAACAACAGCCAGGAATAATGGCACTAAAAGTGCTTGGCTCTTTAGAAGTTGTCTTTTTTTCTTCTCTGAGAGGTAGTATAATTTAGTCTAGACCCAAACAGTTTGAGCCATAGCTCTCCAGCTTACTAGCAATAGGACTTTGAGTGAGCTACTTAACTACTCTTTGCCTCCATTTCCTCAGGTGCAGCATACCTGTGTCATAGGGTGAGGATTCAGTGAGTGAATGCTTTAGAAGAGTGTCGCTCATATAGCAAGTGCTTAGTAAATGTTAGTCATTATTACAGTGATGCTTTGCCCTTCTTGCATAATATACCGTTCATGCTCTGCTCAGTCACTTAGGAAGAGAATCTCTTTTTAATAACTTAAGATTTCAGGGTAACAAATTTATTAAAATCTTTTTTTAATATTTTATTTATTTATTTGACAGAGTACAAGCAGGGGGAGTGGCAGGCAGAGGGAAAGGGGGAAACAGGCTCCCTAAGGAGTAGGGAGTCCGATGTGGGGCTCAGTCCTGGGGCCCCGGGACCATGACCTTGGCCAAAGGCAGTCGCTTAACCAACTGAGCCACCCAGGCACCCCAAATTGTATTAAAATCTTAAATAGTATTATGTACATTAATTTAAGAAGTGCTTAAATGGCTATAAAATTAACAGTAGTATTTCTTTCAAGCTGTTACTTAAGTTTCAAATAATAATTTGCTCAGCCATGCGATAAAGAGTAGTCTTTTGAAAAGGTAAAGTCATGACTCTCACACAAATATAAAATGAATACATGTTAAGAGCTTTTATTTAATTCATTAATTAATAGGAAAACCAGTAAAATGTTAAAACCAGTTCAGAGGAAATTCCAGAGGGTAGACATAATAGGCAGTGAGGAATGCTAAAAGATGTAGACTGGTCACATCTACTGCATGGTAATTAGTTGCATCTTCACCTGACAGGTATTTCTGTGGCCAAGGATCTCTGGTCCCTATCAGCCCTCCACAAGTTAACTTCTGTTTCTACAACTGAGTTGCAAGATAAGGACAGAGAAAGGCACAGGTCCCTATAGAATCAGAAAACACTGGGAAGGCCCTCCAGACCGTGAAAGGACATCCAATAGTCCTTTTGCACATTTAAAGTCTTGAAATGTTTCCAGTAAAAGAAAGACAGGCTAGAAATACTAGAAAGCAAGAAAATGAAAGGTGGAAGTAGGAAGAGTTATAGAAAACAAGAGAAGAGAATGTTTTTGGCCAGAAAAATGCTTTTCCAGGTTCCTTTTTATTTTTTAAAGATACTTCCAGGAAAATAGCATTTATTTTACTGAATTCTCTGACCTCAGATAGAGAAATCTTATTTTAGAAAAAGAGAAAAGGAAAGGAAAAGCAGATGTTAAAATATTGATGTGGGTTTTATTTCCATGACTCAATTTATTTTATTTTATTTTTATTTTTATTTTTTTAAGTAGGCTCCACACCCAGCTTGGGGCTTGAACTCACATCACTGAGATCAGGAGTCACATGTTCTACCAACTGAGCCAGCCAGGTGCCCTCCTGACTCAGTATTTTTTAAGTAAAAGCTTTGTTCCCCATAGAGAATGGTATATGTTCAGGTTAGAATCCCTAAGAGTATTTCCTTACTGGTTTTTATTTCTGTATATTAATGTCATTTGGGGGTTTCTTTTATTTAATAGGTTGGGAGAGGATCTAATTTTAATTTTTAAAAAAATGTCATTAGGGAAGGAATAGTAGGGTTTTAATATTACTTGTTTGTTGAAATATATTAATTGAGAAGGTTTGAAGAATTATGATTGCTTATTATAAAATACTGTGGTCCTGATGAATTAACATTAAAGTTGTGATGTCACTTTGGAAGATGAATCAGCTGCTGGTAATTGCATTGTGAATGTTTATGAAATTCTCTTCAGCTGACAGTCAAATGTACAATGTGGAACAGTGAGAGGTCCTTTAGTGTTGTGGCCAGTTCATCTGAATAAGAAAAAGCAAGTAAGAGTAGCAGAATATACTTTTCTTGTTGCTTTTTGGTGTGAGTCAGAGCTTAATAAACATTTTACTGGTGTGCCCAGCATGCATACTGTTGTCTTTCAGTTACAGTTTTAACAACTGGCATTTATTAGCCTTCTTCGACTGCTTAAGTCCTTCATATTCCTAAATTTTTCACTGAGGTTGTGTGCACATGGTGCCTGGATACTTATAAAAATGTTACTAATTGCTTGGAAAAATACAAACTTCACTTTGAACTGAGACTAGGATTTAGTTATAAAAAGTCTGTATTTCTGATTTATTATACTGATTGTCACAGATGTATGTGTTCTTTGCATAGCTTAAATTGTAAGGGAGACAAACCATTTAAATTGAAAAGGAAGGTAAAACAGGTTCATGTTAAGTAAAAGCTGTCACTGGGTTATATTCCTTTTTTCTCTAGAGAGAGGGAAAGAGAGAGAGAAAACGCACACGCATGTGCGCATGCACGAGCTGTCAGGGGGAGGCAGGAGAAGAGGGAGAGAGAGAATCACAAGCAGGCTCCATGCCTAGCATGGAGCCCAACGGGGGCCCAGTGTCACAACCCCGAGATCATGACCTGAGCCAGAATCAAAAGTCGGATGCTTAACAGACTGACACCCAAGCATCCTTCTAGGTTATATTTCTTCAAAGAAATATTTGTCTAACTTGAGAATATTAAGTTATGTTTTTAGAGATCGTACATATATGGGAGTGAGGACATAAAAATGGAGCTTTGCCCTTTTTATATTATCTACAACTTTTTTTGGTGAAATAACTACATAGAATTGGCTGTCTAGTCATATGATGCACCACTAATACTTGTTTTATTTCTACATGAATTTATGGGCAATGCAAATCTGATTTTCTTCTCATCAATTTGGTTTTTCAATAGAAAGGAGAGGTGACCAATTCCCCACTACATTTAGAAACCAGAGACAGGTGGCAAAATAATTCTCAGTGTGAGTGTAGAAGAGAAGAGTCTTAGATAAATTTGCCTTTTAGAAATTTTATAAAAACAGGTTTGCGGGCTGTGATACAGTGCCTAAGTCCAGAACCTGTCAGACCCCCCCCAAAAAGAAAACAACATCATGCACAACCAAAAGCAAGCTCATAATATTTAATACAACAGAGTGAAAACAATGATGCTAGAAATCGAAAGCTAAAAGAATTGAGTGTAATATACAAACACTCAAAAGAACTATATAAGCCCACTTTTACTGTGTTAGCCTCCCCATCTTTCATCTTTCCATCTGCCAAATCAAGAAAACATGTTCTCTTTAATGCAGTAACACAACTATAACCTGGCCTTACTCTGTGGGGTGGTTAGAATTTTTCTCAAAATGATTTTTGTTTTGCTCATTCACAGGTCATTACTGTAGATTGTTCTCATACTTGAAAGCAAATTCTGGTATGTTAAAAACATTCCTGTTTTATATCTGACAACTCAACCCATG